AGCGTGGAGTGCAAGCCACAAGTTCCTCCTGCTTGCCCCATGTTTTCATACCCATTTCCAGATAGCATGAACTGGTGTGTGAGGATTTCCCTCATTCCCAACCCGCATTTCTATTTTTCTAGTAAAACATAAGTGGCTTTGCATAAATTCGTATGAAAATACAGCTATATGATGCTTGGAAATTAAAGTGCACTGTCTAATGATAGTGCCCTCAGGCCTTCATTAGGGCTGAGGGCCCTGTTGTGGTATAAGCCTGTACAAACCCTTCTACAGAATGTACATTGACCAAGTCGTCACGATTTTTAAGAGCAGAAAGTGCAGGAGTAATTGCTCATCATCTTCTTCTTTTTGGTTTTTTTTTTTTTATTTTCTAAAGCTCACAGAAGAAGTAGAACCTACTTTGGCAAGGAAAGACGATCAAAGTCTGCTTTCTTATATCAGGCCCTGAAGTAATTCATTACTTTGTCTTTCAATTTCCAGACATGGAAAGAGAGATAGCTACCCAAATCTTCATGTAACATGCAAGGGGTGGCGGGGGAAGAGCCCTTGAGGGAAACTAGCTGTCATCTGGGCTTGTGTAAGATAACCGAAACCCATCTGGATAGAAAATATGCTACTTTGAAAGTACATCAGGTCCTTTGCCTTGGATTAGGTTTTGGGGTTTTTTTATGAAGAAACTTTTTTTAAAAGTAGTTACATTCATAAATTGGAGACTTTCTATGTTTGCTAAAATCATTCTCTCTGGAATGTGAAAATAGACCAAAAAAGGAAGCCAAGAAAATCTTTACTCTAGGACAGCATACCTGCTAGTTTTCTGAAGAACAGGATGACATGCTGGAGATACAAAGAGTAGAGATCAGTAGCTTTCTTCAAAGGTCACCACTACATTTTCATAAAAGCATTTCTTACTTGGTGTGGTTAGTTGGAACATTTATCTGAACAGCCAGGTTGTCTTTGGTCTATCTTCTATGTTTTTGGCATTCTTGGCTCTTAGATGTAATAGCCCTGTGGGTGAAATTGCCCTGTAGCTGTAATTTCTTTAATACAGTTCCACTTGTTTGGTGCGGGCATACTCTGGGTATTATTTGCATGGTAAAAACAAGCTACCCAATTCCCAGGCTGTCTTGACAGATACAGGATCTCTTCTTAGCTACAGTTCCACCAACATTCCCAGCCTGGCTTCCAGGTGGTTTTTCTTCTTCTTCAACCATTACCAGTATCATTACTGTTAGTAGTCATGTATTAACTCTCAACTCCAGGTCCACATTGACACAAAATCTTGGAGCAAAATTTAGCCATGGTATAGCCCATAAAACCTTTTAATCTGGTGTTTGAGAAAGTACAGAAATCAAGCTGTCAGATGACTTGTGGTTCTACTCCATTAATTGGTTTTAACCATTTTAATGAGGTTGAATTTGCAAATCTGTTGCAGTAGCTAAGACAACAGTGTATTTAATAGTATGTTTCCTTTAAATATATGCATCCCTACTGAATAGAAACAATGATAATTTTCAAAATCTTACCTTCCACTCTACTGAAGAAGGTAGAGAGGAAGGAAGAAATTCTGTCTGCAAACTGTTAGAGCAGCATCCTGTGGAGATCTGCACAGCAAAGATGTGCGCTGCTTCATTATTTTATAGCAACAGGTGTCCTGGCTTAACACAGAATAGCTCTCATGCTTTCTCCCCTTCAATTATACCTCTTCCTGGAGCTGGCAGCTGCAACAGAGATCAGCCTCCTCCCCTGCTGTACTAAGCCTCAGTAATTTGTTATTCCATATGGTTGAGGTCTGCAACCTGACCAGAAGCTCAGAGCCTTACACAGGGGCGGGGGGAGCAAGAAGGGTATGCATCCCCCTTTACGTTTTGAACTCCTGGCATCCTTCCATACTTGCGAAGGGCCCAGTCCCTGCTCATGTCTTCACTCCTGAGTGAACAGCATTCAGGTCAACTCCTCTGTGACTCCAGTAGGAGCAGCTAGCCTGCAAAAAAGCCTGTGAGCTGCAGAGAGATCAGGTTATAGCAGTGAGTGACTGTCTTGGAGTTAGACTAATTGGAGCGCTGTAGTCTCTGTCCCACCTGACCTGGCCTTTCAGGGCTTTTCCTCCTAATTTAAAGTTGTCTGTATGCAGGGAGGGTGTGAATTGGGGGCAGCACTCAAAGTGAATTCTGCAATGATATTTTTGAGACTATCTGGGTCTATTGATACAACTGTATCAATACCAGTTGTATTCTTTTCCCCCCTTTTCCATGTGTATTTTGAAGAAGTTGGCATTTAATCATTTGAGGTTGAAGTAGTTGGGCAAAAAGTGTGGGTTTGTGTGAGGGAGAACTGGTAAGAGGAGACTTGTTCTTATTTCGAGTCCTTCTAAACTTCACCAGTGGTTCTGCCCAACAGGAGAAAACATGCGTATATACCTTGGGAAAATCCGGCACTGTTTTATTTTAATTACAGAAAACATACAGAAAATATCCTGTTCTCCTGCTATTTTAAAATGCTATAAATCACATCGCTTCCTGTGATGTCATGTGTGTCATTGTTTAATGTGAGGTAGAGGATGGGAAAGGTAGGTGATGTACTTTCTGCACAGATTAACTCCAGAAAAGTTAATGGTTTGACCTTCATCCATAGGAAAGGAGGAGGTAGGAAAGCTGTGGTTTTAATGCTTGGAAAAGTAAGGAAGAATCATAAAGACAGGAAAGGGAAAATACTTTTTAACACATGATCTCATTGTTACTTTTTTCACTGGTAATTTATTAGCCCAGCAAATGTTGACTATGACAATCAAATAGTGCTTGACCTTACTGCAAAAGGACTGCTAGGTTTAACAGAACAAGCTTAATTCTGAGAGATCCTAATATTCAGAGAGATCGGGTTTGACATTTGCCATGATGTGAATTTGTGATGTCTACCTGAATGTTGAGTAACTTTTTTTTTTCTTTTTTTTTTTTTTTTAATGGCTTTTTCCAGTGACATGTGAGAATGGTTGCATTAGAGGCAAGGGACAGTCTGCACAGCCGAGGGAGATGCAGCTTCTCCTGGGATATTTTGCAACTGAGAACTTCCATAGAATGGCAGATGAATGTGTTTTGTTTCAGCAAATGCCATAATTAGGAACTTTGTCTACTCCTTGTAAAGTGGAGTTGGTTAAAATTTTCACATCTAAACAAATCTACTTAGGGGTGACATCTGCCTCAAATATTTGAGATCTGTTGGAATCTCAGTGAAGCTGCTCTAAGAAAGTGAGACATCAGATTAAATCTAAAACCTGCTTCTGACTCTAACAGGCAGTCTTAATTTCGGGGGCGGTGGGGGCGGTGTTCAGTGTATGTTCAATGAAGATTTTTCTTTTCATGCATTAATGCCACTAGCGGGCAGAAATCTGGTGGCTTCATTTCTCTCTTAGGCATATGCCAAAAAAAGAATGAGGGAAACCTGCTTTGGTTTTTTTTTTTTTTTTTTTTTTTTTTAGTTAATCTGTGACTTGCTTTAGGAATAGAGGGTGAGTTTTGTGTGTGGCATCCTTTTGTATCTGTTTTAAACATGGATCTAGTCCTCAGGCCTGGTCTATGCCTTGAGCGGTGTCCTGGTACTCTCAGACTCCAGGACGCTCACCTAAGTATCTGAATGTTTCTGTATAAGCAAGGTGCTGGAAGAGTAAAGATGCCCCAGTGTCTTGGAAGAATCTGTTTGTCTTGGCAAGAATATGGGGGTGGGTTTTTTTTTTTTTGCAATTAGTTTGTAGTTCAGCCTTTTGGTGAAGTAGCTGTCTCTGAAACACCTTTCTTAATCTGAGTGATAGTTTTGTCTGTATAGGCTTGTCATGTATACATGCTCTCATTCCTCTTCTGTGTGCCCACCAGGTCTTGGGGACAGAGCAGGAGTCTCGGGCAGAGAGGGTGGTAGCCTGGCTTGCTTTTGTTGGTTTTTGTCGTTTTTTGGCACCCTTCCTTGAAGGCTGGCTGTCCTGGAGGATTTCTACCAGTCCTGCTCGCCCATGGAACTGGGAAATGGAGGTGCTGAAGGGGGGCGGATGTGGAGAGGAAGAACTTTTTAATTTCACTTCCACGACTTTGTGCACAGATCTCCCTCTCCCTGCCCTTGCCTCTCCTCTTCCCCCATTACCCAACTTCATCTATAACAAGACTAGCTTTTAATCCTTTGAGTAGCTTGGACTTTGCTGTGAGGCATTCAAAGATAGAAGCTGAGGCACTGGAAGAAGAGCTAATTCTTTTATCTCAGCGTATCTGGTATCATGTTCATATTCCCAGTTAAAAAGACACCTTTGTTTCCCTGCTGGTGAGGAGGTCTTGGGAGTGTGGTAAGACCAGTAGTTTCTGATGTGTGCTCTGATCCCATAGTAGCATATAGTTGGAGCTCAATTGCTGCTCAGTTGGTTTTTTTGAACTACATAATTTTGTTTAAATCACACATTTTGTAAACTGACTTGAAGAGTTAATAACTGTTTTAATAGTAACTTGTAAGAACATAGTCCAGGTTAAAAATAAAATTACAGCTGTTGAGTCCAGACTGAGTTCAAGGCCTATTAGTATTATCTTCAGAAAAAATGTCTGTCCTTATTAGCAAGGTTTTGGGTTACAAGCCATTACGTGATTAGCAAGATCACAAGTGCAGCAAAACGAACTGCATGTCAGCATTGTAACGCGCTTACTTCCCAGCATTTCTTTGTGCGAATAAAACTAAAATGCAGAATTGCGGTTTGTTCTTGGCTCTTCTGTACTGGTCCTCTGTGAAAACAAGCTCTCATCTGGCAAACCAGGTAGCTAGCATGATTGCTATGAATTCAAGCTATGCAGTAACGGGTATAAGGAAAAAGAGTTCTTGCTTAGACATGCGCTCCTAGATTTGACTGCCTTGTTTTTAAGATGGATGTGAATATGCCCTAGGGGAGGAATAATGTGTTTTTTTTCCCTGTATAGCCTAGTCCTTCAGAACTGAGTCTTTAATGCTGTGGCTTTTCCCTCTTTCTCCCTTTCCAGTCCTTCCTCCGGTGCTGGTTCCAAGGCACAGCGAGTACAACCCTCAGCACAGCCTCTTGGCCCAATTCCGCAACCTGGGACAAAATGAGCCCCACATGCCGCACAATGCTACTTTCCCGGACTCTTTTCAGCAGCCCAATAGTCACCCGTTCCCCCACTCGCCCAACAGCAGCTATCCAAACTCGCCTGGAAGCAGCAGTAGCACCTACCCGCATTCTCCAGCCAGCTCAGACCCAGGAAGTCCTTTCCAGATGCCAGGTACAGTCAACTTCGGTTCCTCTTCAGAAGGGAGAAGGTGGTTGGACATCACTGGTATTATGTGGTTTTTTTTTTTTTTTTTTTTTTTGCTTAGTAATACCAAATTATCAGCCAACACTTATGTTCAATAGTGAGCTGAGAGATGTAAGGTAATAAAGACTAAGTAATCGCTATTCTGGTAATAATATTGAGGGCTTTAATATTGTGCCTCTTTCAGACACAGTTAAAACATTACAGTAAAACTCTTCTGGAGCAGGGGGAGGGATTCAAAATGTTTTGGGCACCAGTTCAACAGTTTAGCTCACAAAGCATAGTATTTAATGCACAAGAAGTGTAATGCTACAGATCATCCTTGCTTAGGAAAGAGATCATCATAAATTCAGCACAAGGCTTTAGTTCTGCAGAAGGATGTTTCTCAAGGGGATCATGCTATTGCTACTTGATAAAATTTCTTCACATAATGATGTAATTTCAAGAAACAAATACACTTCAACTGAAAAACAGTTCCTTAAGGCCCTGAAAAGAAATCTTCACGGTGTTTTACTTCCTAAAGTCAAAGAAGTAACAACCTTTCTTTGTTGACTGATGTCCATAGAAAATTCTGTGAAGCTGTCTTTTTTTGGTCTTTGCATGCGGATGGATAAAAATACTGCAGAAGCAGTCTGTGACAGATTTCTTGATATAAATGCTAGGAGAAGGACTCCATACAAATGCTTACTGATGTTCTGTTTGCATGTTTTCTTTGGGGGCTGAGGGAGGGCATCTGTAAACAAAGCAGCAGACTTGTGAAAATCTGTTTTCTATTACATGAAATTAACATCCATAGATTTCTGCTGCTGATAGTTGTTTCTCTTTAAAATTTTTCTCTTGTGTGTGAAGACTACTGAATTTGCAGAGGCAGGAGGGAAGGAAAGAGAGTTTGTATTGGCTTTTCTGAAAAATGTGAAAAGTTGCTGCAAAACCCACTGCCTTCCCCCCACACTTTCTTTTTTTAATTCAAATATGATTGGTGTGGCTGGGGCTCTTCCAGCAGAGATAAAGGCTTCTCTAACAAGGTCTCCCTGAACACTGGCTTGTGGAAGTTCACTTGATCTTTGAGGGAGTTCTGTCCACATGCCTGTAAAGACAGTCAGCAGCTGCAGTGAAGAAATTGAATTAAAGGAGAGGTCAAGATACTGATGTTCTTGATGCTTAGCTCTGGACAGTTGTCTGTCTTGCACTAATGGGGAAAGAGGAAAATTTTGGAAATATTTGGAATATTTTGGAAAATACAAAAAAAAGGAGCAAAGCAGTTATCCAGAGATCTTGAAAACTTTCTAGATACAGGCTAATTTGTTGCCTGTGGCCTTACAATCTTGTTTCCCTATCTGTGCATCACTAACATCATGTTTGCACACGTGCAAACATTTGAGGCTTAGTAAAACACAAGACTTAAACTCCAGTGTAGACTGTTAAGCTTTTAATGCAGTCCTGTTGTCATCTCTGTCTTTCTCTGCTGCTCTCTCGTCCAGCTGAGGGTATCCAAGTACAGGAGTTAGCAAGGTACCTGCCAGCATTAGATGTAAAGCTCTCAACAGAATATCACTGAAACAATAAGCAGTTAATAGTTTTCATTAACATGTGTTATCTTAAAAAAAAAAAAAACAAACAAAACCAAAACAACCAACAACAAAAAAAACCCCAAAAAACCAAAAAAGCCCCACAAAAACCCAAAACTTGCAAAGCAGTAGTATGATTCTCCTGCCTTTTGTTGATGCTAATTTGGTTTTCAGGGGTTTGGAGACCCCTGTGATTATTTGCTGTGGTAGTTTGCAATCCATGCTCTCAGTGATGGAAGTAAATGTGGGATGAGCAGCAGCCGTGTTCACCAGGGACAATACAGTGGTAATCTAATCTCAGATTGTGCAGTGAAAGCTTGCAGGGATCAGGCAAGGGTTTCTCTCTTTTGCATGTACCTCTGTGCAATTGATTTGGAGGAGAGTGTCCTCTGGTGTATTGGGAAATGGTGACATTGGCAGCTTCCTGCAGCTTCCAAAAAGCCATTTGGGAAGCTTTCCCAGAAGTGAAATAGGCAGCTGAAGGGCAATGCGAGTACCTGGCTGGGATGCTTCAAACAGGGCTGCAAGCAGTGTATTAGTGAGTACGGTCATTGTGCATGGGTTGGTTTTATGCTAGTGATTCAGTCCTGAATGGGGCAGTACAGCCAGTAGGAGACACTGACAGATAAATTCCAGACCCAGACAGCTGATTCTGTAGAATTTGGGTTCCTGAACACTTTCTACTGTTCCCAGTCTAGGGAAATAGAACTAATACTTCACAATGACAATAATAAGGTCCTGGATATATCTGGGTTGTTTCCATACTTTGCTGATAGAATCATGTTGGAAACAGAAAAGTTTGAACTGAAATTTTTCTGCTCCAACTTCTGTTCACATTTACCATATTTGATACCTACTTCTGGCCTGGTCCTGAGACCTCTTTGTGCCTTAAGGTCTATATGGCACTTTCAACCTGCAAAAAACATGGGCTGGAAACATAGCTGAGCTTTCTTTTGTGCCTTGATGTGGGGGGCGGGGAGTGACTTGGATTTGTTGTAGTTGTGCTTAATATGCACAGTAATTCTTTGCTTTCCTGATTCAAGGCCCATGATTGCTTTCTCAGATTTCTGGTGGGTAGAAGTTTATAGCTGAGTCAGCCTGGAAGCATTTCCAGGCTAAAACTGTTTATGTGGGTATGTACATATACTTTAAAGAGAGGAAAGGACTCGTGTATCTCTGACTTTTCTACATCTAGCTGATACTCCCCCTCCTGCTTACCTGCCTCCGGAAGATCAGATGACACATGATACCTCCCAGCCGATGGATACCAACATGATGGCACCTGCAATTCCCCCTGACATACACAGAGGAGGTAAAAACACTTCCTTGTCGTCTTCTGCTTTGCTTCATAAGAGTAAAGACCTTTCAGAACTTACTTTTAATAACTGAGTTTTAATTTTGGATATATGTTGCTTATGGAAATTTTTAGATGTAGAAAAGAAAAAAAACCAGCCATGTAATTTTTTTTCTGTTGTTGTAAGGGATGAAATAATAAATCTGGAGATAAAAATTTAGAAATGTAAATATATATTTAGGACAAGAAGTTATCACGTGACTTTAAAGGTGTAAAATGTATGGGCTTTATTACTTACTCCCAACCAACTCAACGACCAAAGTCATTTTATGTTTTGTACCTGGAACTTCCACTAACCACCCAACAGAAAGAATTCCCGTGATGATGCACATTTCTGCATGCGATGCTGAAATAACACGTGTGCAAGGAAAGGAATCTCTTTCTCTTTTATGATTACATTTATTTTTTGCAACAATGTAGTTAATGCTGTATAAAGCCTACTGAATTGTGGATGATAGTACATATGGTCAAGTATAGCGCTCCAAGCAAAGACTTGATCAGAGGATGGACGCCCAGAGACATTTTATATGGGCAAGTGGAATATATGTATTTTTTCCTCTGAGACAGTACACATCATAAAATTGTCTTTTCTTATTATGTTTTTGCCCTGAATTCTAACCTTCAGTCCTTGAAGAGTATGCTCTGCATTTAATAATTTACCCTTCTCCTGGTCATAAGGGTGTTTGAGGTTTTTTTGTATTTTGTGTTGTTCACCCTCTCTCCCCATTTTTGTTGCATCTTTGAGTTGTACAGTGATAGCACTTGGTTCAGAATTCAGAGCTGTACGCCTGAGGTGTGGCATTGCTACAGACTTTAAAATCTGTATTTAAAAAAAACCCTATTGCTTTATGTACTATGACACAGACATCTTTTTACACATTGCTTTTTAAAGCCTTTGCATCCAGCCATGACTGCCGAGTAAAGGATTTAGTGCATTCATCACATTGTGAGAAATAGCCCCTTTAGAGAACGCTTAAGCTTACACAGTTGTGGCCCATGCCAAGAAAGAGCAGCAAGCTGGGTGCTGTGCCAGGATGATTATTAAGGTCACAAGCATATGAACAATTTAACTGTTGTTTGATTTTTTTTTTTCCTTCGTACTTGTTTTGTTGCTAAGCTTAATGTCTGGTTTCAGGAAGTATATTTGCCCTCTTAGAACAATTTGGATAGCTTTTGTGCTAACCTATTTACTCACTGTGTGGAATGAGTTTTGCATGTGATAAACCCCATCTGTAGCATTTCCACTTTTCACTGATCCAGTACACTCTGTGTGTACGTATAGGCCTTGCTGGCCCAAAGTACGTTTATCAATGTTTATGCCTAACTGCAGACCTTTGCATGTTTGCACGTGTCTGTCTCACAAAATACACAAGTACTGTAGCATTCCTCTATTATGTGAGAGGTGATAAAAAGAAATGTTTACACTTTTCTTCTTGCTTTTTAACATTCAACTGTTTCAAAATAAAAATTGCGTCTATTAGTGTTTTTCCCTCCTAGTAGTTTAGTACAATGGTTTTTCATCTGTCCCTTCATTTAAAAAAAAAAGATACCTTATTTCTGTGTGCCTTCATGTGTTTATTATTCGTACACGTATGCTGTGTTTGCACTACTTTAAAAAAATCTGCCGCAGGTTGTAAAAGAAGAGTTTCTACTGTTAACTTAACTGCAGCATTTTTGTTGCAAACTTTTTAGAAGCATGTTCTTCATGGTGATTTGTTAGTCTTAAGAGATTTGATTTAACAAGCTGCATCCTGTCAATGAAGTTGGGTAATTTCCATTGTTGGCCCATGCTGGGAATAGAGAGACTAAACGCACCTGCTCTGCATGACTTAAAGCAAATGTGAGGAAGTTAGTATGAAATCTGTGTGAGAGAGATATGATTCATTCTGTAAGAATGGCCAGCTGGCAAGATTTCTTCCTGACTTTGAGAACTGGGGCAAAGCTGTAGCTTTGATAATTGCTGGCATCTTCATGGGAATTAAAAGTGTAGTAACCTCTTACTAATAATTAATAACTTTTTTTTTTTACAGTGACATGAAAGGATAGAAAATGCTAGGGTATCAGGAAAAATCAGCTCCTTTTTACCAGTGTTTTAAGCAAGTTATTGGTCAGCAGTAGACGCTATGCTCAGAAGTTTTGCACAGTGATGTAGGATGTGTTACCCTGCTTTTATTTATTTGCCACCTTTTGTATCTGCTATGTACTGCTGGTTTGGAGGGGACTTTTTGGGTTTTGTTTTGCACATGTCAGAAAACTCACAGTGGTATGATCTGTGAACAGAGGAAAATATGAGCACTGGTCTTAGTTGGCTGAGTTCAGTAAAGACTTGGGGCTGGGAGAAGGACACCTCTGGCTAGAGAAACAAGTTTTCCCGTAATACCAGTCTGATTTTCATTTTAGCACTTTGACCTGTAGTTGGAGCTTTAATCTGCAAAGTTGGTATCTTAGCAGCAAGTCCAGCTGTGCTAGGCCTAACAGTGAAATAGTCTCCTTCATTTAAAAGCAACCACATAAAGCAACCACATTCCTTCACTAGCCTCCTTTTATTTGGAGGCAGTTTAATAATTTGTAGCTGTATTTGGCACTTGAAAGAATGCACACTGGGTGGAGATATCTGAAGAAGCCTATGCTGTTGTTGGACACTCACTGGGAAACTTCTTGGTAAAGACTTTTGGTATCATCTGGAGAAATTGTTCCCCATGCACAGTCACAAGTGTTACCTCAAGACTTCCATGTGTTTCTAGAGCTTGATGGATAGAAATTGTGAACCAGGAATTTCCTGTCGGCATTCTGCACAATTCCCAGCTTCAGTGAGGAGCTGCTGAGGAGGAGCTTCTTGTTACCAGAGTCTGGAAAACCACATTCTGAGAAATCCTTGCTATTACTCAATGAGTAATTCTTTTGGTGATGAACAGTTGCAGATTTTGCATTTGGTAGCACTTGATGAATAAAAGGTTCTCATTAAATAATATCTTCGTCCATTTCATCTGCTCTTCAGCCCAGTGTAATTGTTAGGATCCTGCGCATTATGCCCTTGTTCAGCCTCCGATCCCAAGCAGTATCTATTCATATTGAAGATGTGCTTCATGCATGTTCTGCAGACAAATGTCAATCTCTCTTAGTTTTTGAAGTCTCCTACCCTTCCCCCAAGAAGCCCAGGAGAAAGATCTGTGCATGCCCTGAATTCTGAAGGATTGATCTGCTGATCATTTATCAGCACTCCTGGGTAACAGTGGAGGCCCCAGACAACTGGAGGCTTGCCAGTGTGACACCCATCTACAAGAAGGGCCGGAAGGAGGATCCGGGGAACTATTGGCCTGACCTCGGTACCAGGGAAGGTTATGGAGCAGTTCATCTTGAGTACCCTCAACAGGCATGTGCAGGTCAACCAGGGGATCAGGCCCAGCCAGCATGGGTTCATGACAGGCAGGTCCTGCTTGACCAACCTGATCTCCTTCTATGACCTGGTGACCCACCTAGTGGATGAGGGAAAGGCTGTGGATGTCATCTACCTGGACTTCAGCAAAGCCTTTGACACCGTCTCCCACAGCATTCTCCTTGGGAAGCTGGCGGCTTATGGCTTAGAGCAGGTGTACTCTTTGCTAGGTAAAATACTGGCTGGATGGCTGAGCCCAGAGAGTTGTGATGAACAGAATTCAATCCAGTTGGTGACCGGTCACAAGCAGTGTTCCCCAGGGCTCAGTTTTGGGGCCAGTCTTGTTCAATATCTTTATCGAATGGTCTCCTCTGCAATTGTGTGATGCTGTTTCTCCCTGTCACTATACAACTTTGCAGTAAGCACAGAGGTGACTTGTAATTTGGTAGCTGAGTATAATGAACTGAAGTAGAATTTCATTTACTAAACTGGAAAGAAAGCTGAGCTGTGTAATTGCAGCGTTTCTCTGCTATCTGGGCCTGCACCACAGCATGTTGTAGAAAATGTGGCAGGGATATTGGGGCATTGCTTGGTATGTGCCCAGGAGCTTCCTGCACTTTTCTGTTGATATCTAGTGCCAGCCCATGTCTCTTGTGAGTCTTGTGCAAGTAAAATTGAGGTGAAATTATTTCATTGTATGTCTGTGGCTATGAAAAGTTCAAAAATAACTGAAGATAGAAGAGCCTTCATTTAGCTGCAGTTGCTTATCCGGTTCATCTTTAAGTGATCTTCAGCCAAAACCTGCAGACTTATGAATCTTTTACATCTCAAGCCTGTATTGTAGCACCGCTAGATTGTAACGTTTCTGTTGTTACTTTACAGATGTTCAGGCAGTTGCTTATGAAGAGCCAAAGCATTGGTGCTCCATCGTTTACTATGAGCTGAATAATCGCGTCGGGGAGGCGTTCCACGCTTCTTCCACCAGCATCCTGGTGGATGGCTTCACTGATCCTTCAAACAACAAGAACAGATTTTGCCTGGGGCTGCTCTCAAACGTTAACCGCAACTCCACCATTGAGAACACTAGGCGGCATATTGGCAAAGGTGAGTTTTGGATCTTTGCATCCGTTTTGGGGGTTCTTTCTGGGGGGGGGACGGTCCCTAGATGTGACAACCTGGGCCACTTACCGCAAAAGCAGGCTGGTCTTCCGAAGTACATGGGGTAAGTGCATGTGTTGGTAAATATGTGTTTTTCTGGCCAGGTCTTATAAGCAAAGTATTGTTCTTACCTGGTGTGTAATTACAGGAAGTTTTTACCCTTAATCAATTTTTAATTGCCCGAAGGCTATCATAATCTTAATTGGAATGAGAGCTTAAGGCAGTTTGTTTAATGAAATGATTTGATTTATCTTGATTATTGGTGTATATGGAAATCCAAATTACAGTTCTTGGCACCAAATTTTTAGCTAGCCTTAGTTCCAACATAAATTAGCTATCCTAACATGTATTTAGAGAGACAACCTGCTAAAACAGTTTTTTCCAAATGCATTTTTCACAGGCTGGTGATTCTTTCAGTGGGAGTTTTGTGCTTCTCTTCTGTGGCTGTGACAGTGTACTGCAAAAGAGAAATCTTCTGTTTTATGTCTGACTTAATACAGTCCTCTTTTCTGCGAACTTGCCTGTAATACAAATGACAGGCAAAACTGACATTGCCCCCTGCAATGGGACATTCCTGCCAGACAAATTTTTTAAGTGTTTACATTGTTAGTAAACTCTAAATTTTCTGAGGCAGTTGAGGGTTCAGCGTGCCCAAACAGTGGGGTGTATGTTGTAAGTGCCAATTAATGAAGTATCTTCTTCCTCCTTAGAGGAGGAAAGAATTGAAACTGAAGAGAACTGTCAGGTTGTCAAGTCTGAGCCCTTGGTCTGGAGAGCTTTCCTCTACATGAGGACTTGTGCAGCTCTCAGCAGTACACCACACCTGTGCTGTGCCACACAAGTCCTAATACTTCTTGCTTCTTTTCCTCCACATCCATCTTACCAAGTAGCAGGATATTTATTTAACACCTCATTCATTTTCCTGTTAAAAGTAACCCAGCTGCAAGCAGAGTTCTGCTGAAGCACTTAACTGTGTATGTACCAAAGCAGAGTGTGGAAGAGACAAGGATGCTGTTGAATAAGTAAATGTGTACAACTAATGATGATGTAGAACTGTTAGTCTTTGAGGAAGGAGGAGTAAATCCCAAGCTTGAAGACATAGCCGTAAATGTTTTTGCAGATCAAGTAGGAGTATATATATATGTACCCACACAGGTACATGCATAGTCAGTGGCAAAATCTTACATGACAGAGCACAGTCAAGGCTTTCTGACTGGACTTCAGCTTATGTTTTAAATTCTGTGTGTTCACTTCTCTGACTCGTGACATTGTGGGAGGTGAAAGGTTTAAACAGCAAATAATGCATTTTTAAATGCAAAAGGCAAATTTTTTTGCTTTCTCAAAGCCTTTGGAATTGAGTCCTACTGACACAAATCTCCACAAAGGTTCCCTGTATGTCGCTTTTCTGGGGCTTGCTGCCATCAGTGGCAGGTGAGGGAGCAGGCATTAGAAGGGGAAAGGACTATAAAATTGGTGTGTACCCTCATTTGACAGATACGTCTGAGGAATATAAGGGCCATTTTCTTTTTCCAGCTTGCTAGAATTAAAGCAAGGTGAAAAAAATTGTGCTACCCAAAATAGCATTCAGGACTTTTCCAGAGAATTCAGCATGGGGCTGCTTTAGTATCTACGAACAATACAGTAGGTTTCTGCTATCTCCTCTTGCATTCCCAATTATTGTTTTACATAAACATAATGAGAAAAAGATCAAGTGGTCAAGCCATCCAGCGTACTGCATCAAAACTACTACAAACTGCTTACTAGTTTGTTGTTGTTGAATATACAACATGTTAAAATGCAGGAATTACTGATTTCCCTTACATATACCTACATACACACCCTCCTTTGAAATCACCTGCTGATGAAACAGAAAAGTAAAAATCAAGTTTGAAGATGGGCTGATGATGGTCTGATATGAAATTAATGTTTATCTCATTAAGCAGGAGCATACCTCTGTGGAGACAGAGCATGAAAAATAGATACCCAGTATGAATTAATCTAACCTCCTTATGTCAACCTTCTCCTTCCAGGTGTTCATCTCTATTATGTTGGTGGGGAAGTGTATGCTGAATGTCTTAGCGACAGCAGTATTTTTGTGCAAAGTCGGAACTGCAACTACCATCATGGGTTCCATCCCACCACGGTCTGCAAAATCCCCAGTGGCTGCAGTTTGAAGATTTTCAATAATCAAGAGTTTGCTCAACTTTTGGCTCAGTCGGTGAACCATGGCTTTGAGACAGTGTATGAGCTTACTAAGATGTGCACTCTCCGTATGAGTTTTGTAAAGGTATGTGAAAATTTGCTTGAGATTATTTTGTAAGCAAAATAAATTATTTTTTCTTAATGTGGTGATTTTGAATGGTCCAGTGCCTCCCTCCATTGACCTGTTAATAGCTGTTGAATTTTAATTACGGAATATTGTTTGTTAAGTGTAAGACAGATCTTAATGAAGCAAAGTTGTCTTTGTGGACAAAAATCCATCTGATGGATGTACTTTGAAAGCTTGCAGAAGGTGTTTCTTCACATAAGCCTATAGTCACTTGTGAAACATTTCTATCATGTCCGTTAACTATTCTAATTTCATTGAATTGCCTCTTGTAAATTTGTAGTGTTTCAGTTGAATTCTTGTATTTAATATGTGTATAGATTGTGTGTGTGTATATGGAATTATTTGCATAATTACTCTGGAGTTACGGGGCTTGTCTTTTTAATTTTGTGGGATATGGCATGATACAGTACCAGTAAGTTTTGAGAAGAAGTGAGTCATTAATTACTTGGTCTAAAAGTGGAAAAGCCACCAATTCATTATGTAGCATCAGCTTTTGCCCCTTTTTTTGCCCATTGTCACGGTCCATGCCATCTCCTGCTCTGTAAGAGGCCCAGCTGAACTTCATGCTCCTGTTCCTGGGTGGTATTTTTGGAGAGTTGAGCTGGGACTGCAGTGTAAGTAGCGGTTGTAGGAGCATAGATAGCATAATCCTCTAAATCTGTGTTGACCAGCAGCTCCCAAATTAGGAGCTGCAGTAATTATTTAGAATAATATACATACCTTTCTGTTCTAGGGGGGCATGGAAGGTCAAGATTTGTGATGTGGCTGTGACTGTCAACATAGGTACTGATCTAAAAGGGCTGGTCACATATATGAAAGTAGTCAAACGAAGACGGTAATATGCTGAAGTGCTCTTCTTGATAGGAGGATAGAAACTTTCAGATGTGTTAGGACAGGGGTTCCTAAAATGGAATAGGTTGTTTATAGCTCTGCATCCTATAGAGTTGTACAGCAGTGTTGCCCGACCAGTTGCACAGGACCTCCTGTGTATTGGATGTTGCACTGCACAGTGTTCAGAGCTGCTGCCACCTGTGTTGGGAGCTGGGAAATCCCTTCCTTAGGGGTTAATATAGAGCAGAGCAAACTGTACCTGCGGCTATCTTAGTCTTGTCTCCAGACCTGCCCTAAAAATGGTTCACTTACAAAATGATTTTGAATGCTGTTTAAATTATCTTCTTATATGTTTGGTAATTACTGTAACTGAACCAGGTATGAGCTGAAACAAAACCTACGTTGTCTTGAGAAATAGCCTACTAAGGAATGACCATGCCCTTTTTCTCTGAAGAGGAATGTTTCTGACTGCTTGGTTTATCATGTCCATCCTGCGCATGATGCTTTGGTTCTTGTCAGGCAGTTGCCTCACCCCCACTTCCATAATGTCAATCTATGACCTCATTTTTTAAGTTGTTGATCTGTTTGGCAGCATTTTAAACTAAAGAAGAATAGATTTAGACTAGACATAAGAAAGAAATTTTTTACAATGAGGGTGGTGAAGCACTGGAACGGGTTGCCCAGAGAGGTGGTAGAGGCCCCATCCCTGGCAACATTCCAGGTCAGGTTGGATGGGGCTCTGAGCAACCTGATGTAGTTAAAGCTGTCCCTGCTCACTGCAGGGGGGTTGGGCTAGATGACCTCTAAAGGTCCCTTCCAACCCAAAGCATTCTATGATTCTGTGATTCCCCCGAATTGTTCTATTTTTGGTCTTGGCAGAGAACACTTGATTATTCCCCTCTTCAGAGGCTTTATTGGGACATTATGCAGCTGGCAGCCAGGTATGGGGAAATTTTGCACTGCCACAGGTTATGTCTTTAAGAATGTAAAGACTTCCATCCCAGGAGATCAAGAGATATCAAATGACACTTCCTCCAAATTTCATTCTCTTTTCTTTTTTTTCAACTTCAGATTTGTTTGTTGAAATGTGATAATAGTTGGTGCATCAAGGGTGTTATGCTACCCTGCTGATAATGACTGTTGAAAGCTAGAGTATTTTGGTAAGAAAGAAGATGATTGAAGTATTTGCTATTATAAAATAAGGTGATTTTTTTCTTTCCCCACTTACGATTCTGTTTCCAGGGTTGGGGAGCTGAATATCATCGCCAGGATGTAACGAGCACTCCATGCTGGATAGAGATACATCTTCATGGTCCCCTTCAGTGGCTGGATAAAGTACTTACTCAGATGGGCTCTCCTCATAATCCTATTTCTTCAGTGTCTTAAAAGGTCCCAAGCTTCTGCATTTTGGAAACAGTTGAGCCTTGCATGTACTTGAAGGACGTATGAGTCAGACACACACACTTCCCCCCCCACCTTCCCTCCCCGAACTGGCAACAGCTGAATAAGAGCCATGAAAATACTTGACTTCAGTGACCAACTGTTGGATGCAGAAAAAAAAAAAAAAAAACAAAAAACCCACAACCCTTTGACATACTTTTGGTATCAAGAATTTTAGTTTACATTGTAACGTACTATTGCAAAGTTGATTTGCAGGGCTTAGTGCAACGGGGACGACTGAGCCAAAACCACAATCTGTCAGACTGAGTTCCCAAAGGATCTTCCTGTAGCTGGCACTCTGAGATTCTCTTTCTTCCTTACGTTCAGTGCTTGCTGATTTCCCCTGTGTCCTCTGGGGCTAAGAGCCGATGTTGGTGAAGTCTGCTTTTTGCAGGCTCTGTGCAGTACATTTTAAAACCATTTGTCTAGTCGATGGTTGCTGTTCTCTTTTAAAGAAAAAAAAAGTCATAAGGTTTAATCTCAATAACTGTGTAATAATCTTTGAAATTGTGTCCTGACCATACTGCTGTAAGAATGTTAGGTATGTTTTTTGCTAAATGTATGTACGGTGTATTTGAAAGTTTAGAAATGAATTAGATTTAGACCATAAAGGAATTGGGAATATTTGAATGGGGGGAGGTGGGTGTGGGAAGGGAAAATGACAACTGAAATGTAGAATATATTGTAAACATAGCTTGTTAGTTTAAACTGAGGTCTGAGTTTTGCTGTGCATTTCATTCTTATAGTGGCTTCATCTTGTTAATTCTGACTATTTTTGCCTCTTCGTTTTCCCCCAAAACAATTGCACAGCTGGTTAATTCTTTTACCCATGAAGAGGACAAAAGGATTAATTCCTGCAGTTTGAAAGCTGCAGCTCTATGTATTTCAAGACAAAATTGTACAGAGTGCTCTTTAACTATTGAGCAGTTTTATACAGTTTATGTAACAGAAGTAGGCTTTTAATTTTGTAAGAGAATCTTGTTTTGCCAAACCTAGTAACTGTTAATTGTTTGGAGGACTTCAAAATCCCTGTGTGGGTCTATTTCAAACTTTTAAAAAATATACATATTTTAAAGTTTTTTTTTAACTGCTTGGTTTATTTTCTTCTCTTTGATCTTTTATATTCATGTAAGCTGTAGTACTTAAGTACCTTTATTCCAAAACTAGTGGGTCCTCTTTACTGGAAGTTTTGAATAAAACCTGTTGTTACTGCTTACATTTGATTAAAACCTTGTCTTGTCCACTTCTTAGTAGATTCTTAACAAACCAGATAAAGATACGGTCTTGGAGGAGGAACAACTAGAAATGAAGATACGCTGAGCTTAGACAGTTATGATTAGTACAGGTTAGTAACCCTATTAAACTCAGTATATGAGATGAGTAGTCTAGAAAGAAAGATTTCTTAACCAGGCAAGATTAGAGTGGATGCAGTAACACTGAAGTATCATAACTGCTTAGTTAAACTTCCTTGAGATTTCAACATACAATATCTGTATGAGAAGAGATTTTGCTGAGGTTGCTACCATCAGAGGGCTCTCACTGCTCCTTGCCATGGTTGTGGAGCCTTCATGCTCCTTTCCCCACACCTCTGCCTTTTCTCTGGAGAGAGGTGAAGGAAGGACTGTCCCTTTGCAGCTGAAAGTGTCTGTCAGGTGCTGGGATGATGGAGTTCGAGAGACTGGGGGTTGACTGAAGATCCAGTGCCTGTGCCTGGCTATAATGGGCCTCGCAGCACTGACAGGAGCATGAGGGAAAGCTGAGCAACAGAGATGAATGTGTGTTCAGCCAGATGTATGCATGTGTATGTCATTGTAATGAGTAATAGCCCTTTTTGGAGGATGAGTCAATCCCATCTATTTTTTTTTTTTTAAAGTTAATTCCATTGCTTGGTTCAGTATACATTTTTAAAATTAACCCTTCTCCCCCTGCTAAGGAGGAAAAAAAAAAAAAAAAACCTGTAATGTTGCAAGTTCCCTATTTAGGAGAACTTGATTAGTGACTTCTTTGTATTTGTAAGTTCCAAGAACAAATTTTTTTTTAATTCAGTTTAACATATATTTTTCATAAAGAAGCAGTCATAGCATAAATGCAAGACTTAAAAATAAGTAAAATTTAAAGATGACCAAAAAGAGAAAGAATGCTGTTTGCTGTTCAGTCACTGTCTCTGTTTTTAACATCTCCAGCCCCTGTTACATTAACTCCCAGCTGTTCCCAGCCAATTTCCTTCCTTTTTTTGGAATGAAGCATTGAGGTAGTGATTTTTTTTTTTTTTTTTTAATGGGCGCTGTAACCATCCATCATGCATGTCTTAAGAGTGTTTCTATTTGGAGGTTTTCATATTTGGATGATCCTGTGCAAGTTTTGGTAAACTTTGAAATAGCTTTGGAGTAAGAAAAGACAGTTCTATATTGTGACCGCTTTTGAATGTTAGCGTCCTGTGTGTTTTGGGCTGTAATGCCTCTCTGTTTTTCCTAAACAGGGATTAAAATCAGAAAATACTAGCTGCAGTGTCTCAGAAACTTTCAGTAGTAATACTTCTGCAGGGTCCCAGTTTTTGTAAATTCCTTCTGTTGTGATTTTTTTCTATGCTGTTGATACTGTTGAAGTGCAGTGTACATAATATTTTCTTTATCTGTTATCCAGCTTTTTGTTTGTCATGAGGAGACATTAGGTGTAAGGAAAAAGTGGACCTTAATGCAATGGCACAGAGTATCCCAGCTGCACTTTATTAAATAAGCTGAGTGGATTGGAGTAGCACCTGAGACTAATAGCCAGAAAAATAGGAGGTAGGACAGAAGTTACCTTGGAGGAGGCAACTGTTAGCCTGACGCTCTTGTGAAGACTTTTGGAGCATCTTGGAGAAGTTTTCTTAGTGACTTGCCTCACTTTGGATAGTTGGCGTCAGAAAGCTGGAAAAGGCACAGGACAAGACAGAAAGAAAAGAGTGTCTTGCTGACCTCTTGCAAAACAGAGAAATGATGAGAGCTAGAAACTCAGAGAGAGCCTACAGTGTCAACTCTGTAACCAGGTGAGTCCTTGCTGTCTATTTGGTTTTATTTCCCCATAGTTTCCTGGGTCTAGTCTTCTGAACAACAGGGTTAAACACAGAAGACACTACTTCAAGGTGAAGAGCCAAGATGGTCCCTGTTAAGAGAAACTGAAAAGTTACAGATAACTGTTTTAGAAAAAGAATTGAGGAAGGGCAGTGAACAGTAGATGTGAATGTGTTTTGAAAGCTGTGCTTTGGCTTTTAAATGCTGGAAAGAAAATAATTCTCCCCAGGTGGAGATGACTTTTTAACCATTTAAAAGTCTCTGGTGAACCTTTAAAAGACTCGACAAAAGCTAAGAGAGGTAGTCATGGTTACTTGTGTGGTTTTAGGAAGGTATGGAGAGAAGTAATTCATGTTTTAACATACCCTGTATCAGAATCATGGACCTGATCTTCTAATGCTCACTAGCTGGTATTGCTATCTAGTTTGATAAAGCCATTCCCTTACAGTAGCAAGAGAAGTAACTTAGTAAGCTATGTTTTCACAACTGTAGTTGCCTTTTTTTCTAGCCTCAAAGAATGCAGTTCTGTGACTACAGTCGTTTGAAGGCAATAAACCAATGCAGAGATGTCTGAAATTTATATGGCCATTTCTTGGTGTGCCTGTCTCCTTGATTTTTTCCTTTGTCTTGCCACTTTAACTTTGATCGACATCTTGGAAGTTAGCTGTGTTTTGATGGTCTCTTTATTAATTGCTCCTGGTTCGTTCTGTTCAGCACACTGTAGCCTCTTATTCTGCTCTTGAGATTCATGATTCATCACTGTGAACCAGCAGTCACCTTTCTCTGGATGCGTGCCTAAATATACAACATAACTCTACCATCACCAGTCATGGCAGAGCAATATATTTTTTACACGCATCATCTCACAGTTCATTTTCTTCAAATACATTTGTAATTCTGCGCAGGAGAGAAGGGAAAATGACTCTTATTTTACTCTGTCCCCTTCTGTCCTTGAGTTAAACAGCTCAAAGAAGAGAGGCACCCTTGTCATGTTACTGTTTTAGGGGACGTTCTCTCTTTGTTCCCAAAGTCCCCCCTCCCTGACTTCTATGTTCTTGATAACTTTCCTTATTTTTTTTAACTCTTTGCAAATAGCTTTTTGTCTGATTCTTTTCTCATACCTGCTGGACACTGTATGTTTCAGTCAGACAAAAAACCTTCTACAGTATGCTTGCCAAAGCCAGGTAAAGAATGATGGGTTGCTGTAGGCACTGGAAGCCACCCGTAAAGATCTGCATGCTTCACAGGTACCACTTTTCAACCCTTGCTGTCTCAAGTGCGTTTTTGGAAGAGGAAGGTGAAGTGAGACAGGTTCATGCTATTGGATTTCACTTTTGCTTGGGATTATTGTTTTAAAAGTTTTTACAATTACTGAGATTCCCTTCCCTCCTCTCTATGGTAGTATGTCACCTGGTTTGCATCTGACTGAAATGACAGAAATTGTCAGCCAGAGTGCTCAGGCTTTGTATTTAGCGGTTGTGTTCCCTGACTGCTGCCTTCAGCTTCACAAGCAAGCCCTGCACTTGTTCTTGTCATCTCTCTCTCCAAACAGGCTCCAGAATAAATAACTTGTGTGGTTTGTAGAATGAAGCTCCTGTACTCTCCGATTGCCTTGGTGACTTGCTCAGAGGGGAAACCTCTGTGGGACAAATGAAGCTGTGTAGCTGGGACCTGGCTGCTGTTATGTGCAGGCTGGCTGAAGTGGCCCTTGTTCCCAGGGGCTGCCATCTTCGTGAGGTGCTGTGCCTGTTCCTGTGCCAATGCAGGTCACGCGTCTGTGTGGGGTGGCAAACTGCCACCAGTTCGTCTGTTCACGTGCTGTGAACTGCTGAGGTGGAAGGCTCTGATTTCCCACTTTTGTTCAGTTTAGTTGAGGTGGCTGACAAGGTGGCTCCTATTTCATTCATCCCAGCTGTGGGAGATGATGATCTCTTCAGCTGCAACAGCTACCTCTGACAGGGTATATGGTGAATTGGTTTTCGTGAAGCAGTTGCAATGGAGAGACAGCCTCCTGATCAAGCCTGTTGCAAACACAAAAGTAACTCCAATAAGATTTATAATGTAAGCGTCCCCTGGGCTCGACGGGGGTACAAAGATGAGCAGGTCTATTGCAGTGGATGGACAAGATGGGTATAGTTTTCACTCAGGTCTGATAAATGATTTACAGTTAAAAATGGCATGTGGATCCTCAGTGTGTGTTAACTCACCAAGTGCTGCTGAAGTCATCAAAAGTAATGTCAAACAAACCCCTAAATTTTACAAACAGTCCAAAAGTCTGGAATTTGAGTCAGTCATCTTTCAGGAACGTAAGAATTTTTATTCTAATGGGTGCAGATTCTTAGTTTTCTCTGAAGAATTGGTTTGCGATTTCCCATTTGCATCCTGCTGCTAAGGTACGAGTTGAAAAATCTGTATCATCTCTTCATGATGCTGCCAGCTCATCTGAGACTTTAAATCCATAAGGCTTACAGAAGGCTGCTGTAGGTAAATGTTGAAGAAGTGAGCACCTTCACGTGCTTCAGATTATGGACTTGACTCTCTCTCATAGCAGTGATAAAAACCTGCCACTTGCAACTCTGTATTGTAGTAAATGTAAAATGAGCTATAATTGTATTACAGAGGGGACTCTGCACATGCCAAACAGGCTTTCCTTGCTCAAAGAGTCTGGTTTAAGTGGACAGGTCACTTGCTTAGACATGGTGGGAACAGCACAGTTTGCCTGTGTAAAGAGTATTCTAATTTTCCTATTGCAGCTTCTTTCTTTCCCCAGTATCCCTGTAACATGTAAAAACATTCTTTTATATGAAGAAAAATGATGTGCCTAACTTCCCCTTTCCTTACCCTTCCTTATATGATGACTTTGGACTTCTTGGTCTTCTGTTCCCTTAAATTACTGGGTTGAACTTAGTACAAGCAGGAGAATGAGACTTGATGTGTGTAGTGCTGCAGTAAGACTTACTGTTTTCCCAGAGCACTTGGCTCTTGGCAGGAAAGCAGGGTCTGTCTCATCTCTGAGCCCTTCACTTCT